CAGGTTCGGTTCTGATCAGGAGACGATCAGGTCCATCAGCAGCTGATCCAGGTGAGCCGCTACCTGAGGAGCTTTGGCTCTGATGGAGAACATCTGAGGGATTCAGAGGAGGATTGATCACAGATCAGATCCATCTGATGGTCGATCAGCGTTTAGATTCATCCTGGAGCTCTGCAGTCCTGGTCCTGGAGGTCCGGTGTCTCCCTGGTCCAACGCACCTGGATCCAACAGCTGAATCTCCTCCTCAGTGCAGTCAGGTTCTCCAGAGTCCTGATAACGACCTCATTGTTCGACTCAGGTGTGTTGAAGTAGACACCTGAAGGGTGCAGGAGACCGGCCCTGGTTTAACACAACCCATCCAGCTGAAATAGGGATGTTTGTGTAAAGATTCTCTACATCCACAGAGAAAAACTAGAATTTTGGTGGGAGTACTAAATTAACTACTTCAACAAAATGATGTGTCCCTAACATAGGCAGGCTGTCTGATAGGCAAGGGATTTAAAAAGAAATCGAGATACAGTTTCGTTTTCACAGTCTGAAACTATTGGCGGATTTTAAAGGGACCCATCCACTTTGTTGCATCCTTATGAATTTTAGGCAGTACATAAAATCTTTGTTCTCCGGGTTCTGCATGTCCAATTAGATACTGTCTTTGTTTTTCATTGATATATTTTTGTTTTTTAGTTTATTTTTAAAGTCTGCAACCATGGGAATAGTGTCTCTATATATTGGTTTATTTAATTTCTTGTAATATTTCGTGTCATTAAATTTATACTGCTCACAACTCATCACAATGGCCGAGCCCTTGTCAGCTGACTTTATTACAATGTGTTTCATGTTTTGGAAGTCCCAAAGGGCTTCAACCTGTAAGATGTTTTTCTTGATTTTGTACATAGTGACTTTTAAGAACATTTTTATCCTGATCAGTTATATTTTTAACTTCTTGTGGTAACAGATCAGTTGAAGGTACCCAAGTGGACGGTCCTGTGAAAGGTGTAAATTTGCATTTGCCAGAATTTTTATAATATGCCGCCAATTTAATTTTTTGATGGTTATTTTGTCAAGAGCTGGAATGAACGACAAATCTCTGCTTAAGAGGTCATATTGTGGTCTATATAATGTACAGTTTTCAGCTAAGACCACCTCTTTTGCGTGGAAGGAAGGGCTTCCCTCCACCCCCTCTGGTTGTAGGTTCAGGGGGACATGGAGTTTAACACCTAGTGGTCAAGCGTGGCCTCGCCTGTTTCGTCTGTCCAGCCCTGTCTGGAACTGATCCTCAGGCAAAAGCAGAATGAAGGGCATATTTCTCATAATATGCTCATTAAGGATCAGCAGATTCTCCTTTTCATCATCAGGGAGTTCAGATGAGTAGTTCACCAACGGGATCCAGATCTG